GCCATGACTCGAGCGTTTGGGGGGATTTCAACTGCATACTGCCCAAACAGCAAACCTGTACTCCAACGTATGTTTATTGCTCGCCACGGAATAAAAATTATGGACAAATTTGATGATGAGTCAACTCGTAGAATACCACTATCACCAAGTCACCACCTCTACCTAGCCGATTCCCCACCTTCTTGCGTCTTACACAAATTTGAACTCGACAACCGCTCAAAACCTTCAATCATCCCAACCACTCTCTTTAACACATTCCTCACCGCAACCGGATCCCTTTTCGCCTTCATCTTCCTCGCCCATCGCGCATTTGTCTTTCCCTGCTGCCGTGTCTTCGTCTCCGAAATCAATCATAACCGCCCAGTGAGGCCCATTCAAAATATTCCGCAAAACCGTATACATAAGTAAAACCTGCTTTGTTCATTCAGGGCTTGACATGCCAAGCCGTTATGGAAATAACAATGATGCAGGACAATCGCCCTGTGCTCTTCGAAAACCAGGTCCCCGGCTCAGTGGAAATACTGCAAGCCAACGCCCGCAAAACCTTGTTCTACACGACACGGTAAGCAATGTTGAGTACTTCGTCATTCGATAGTAGATCAACTCCCAAACCACCACCTTCTCTAAACCATCTGGATAATCGTGGACTGAGGTCTGGTACTATTCGTCGCCGAGGGTAATGCGGTACGCAGCTGTAGCCTGTTATGCTCGGACTCTAATGACCATGGCTGCTCGTTTCGGTTGAGTTAGCCGTTTTCGTCGTAGATGCGGTCGCGTTTGGAAAGATATCACGGGTCGTATACCTTGAGAATGTAGAGAGAACCAATCGAGAACGTCGAAAACGGCGTCGTCTGCGGACATGTACGCGTGCAACATGTGCATGAGCCACGGTCGGCTTTCTGAAAGTCGATGCCTTTACTACGCGGGGTCGATGATGCAGCCTAAGAAAGACCTCGTGTGTGAGTTGCACCTTCGACGCGAGCAGAGGAGATGGTGTCGACTGTCTGGTAGTTGCCTTCATTCCAGCGAAGAGGGTCGATATTGTGTCTGATGATGTGAGAGATGGTGACAACTCACGATCTCAGAAAGAGGGAGCACCGCGGACTCGTATTCGCCACAAAGTCCTCGCTAGCCGTTCCTCCTGCCACTTGATGAGTTTTGAGGGTCATCTGTATCCATTTCTCTGGGCGCTGATGATTTCTGGAGAGGTGGTCGAACCAAGCTTGAACTCGTCGTCGTAAGAATTACATCACGTGTCGCGGTTCTGGCTCAGTCACAAAACTACGTGCCTTGTATTAGTATAAGTATTACGCAGCTTGTACGTGCCTGCCACACAGCAATGCCCCAGGCCAACCACACGCTCCGCATCTCCTAGGTCGCCGTTATCATATCCTCTCATCATCCTAGCTCATATTGGTGGCATGCCGACTTCTATTCTCGACCTTCCAACGGAACTCATCCTGGAGATCATCCATTCGGAGGACTTCACAAATGCCACTATCGCGTACTTTGGAATGACTTGTCGCCGTTTCCATGACATATGTCAAGTTCTTGTTCTGGAGCGCCAACTTCCCGTACTGCGCGCATTAGCGAGTAGGCGTAGCCTCCTTATCTATAAGAACTATGGATCAATCGCGATGAAAGATGATGAATTAAATGACGTGAAGGAGATATTTCAAGCTTCATTCCACAAAATCGAATACGTCCTTGTCACCTTCACCGTTGAGGAAATCGCAAGCGTTCACGGATTTATTTTTCACGCCAACGCTGTTGGCCATATTGACATCAAACTCGGTTCACAGTTATACATGTCCAGCCTAGCCGAGAAAAAAGATTGGTGCCAAACGCTAGCTTCGTTCATCAGGGTTTCCTCGGAGAAGGATATGGCAAACTTGACCATCACGGGTTTACCCCACGGCGAGCGACTCGGATACTTCAAACCCACGATACCCATTCCCGAAACGCCATCAAGTCCCTTCATCCCCCTGCCCATCACCAAATCGTCATCAAGTGCTATAAAGACCTATTTTTCCTTTCTTAGTCCGCTTAAGGGCCGCTTTTTTGGTCTTAAAACGCGGTCAGGCAGTATTGGTACTCAGCCCAACCGCCATGTTGCACCGGAAGGAGAGCGACTCTTCAACTTCGGTACACCCCTAGGACTCAAAAGTTTTGAGATACACTCCCCCCTCCCTTTTCATGGAGCATGCTTTCCGCAGACCCTACGAGCTCTGAATGGTGGATACCTTTCCAGATTATCGCTCTTGAACACAAGACTCCATATGTCAGAATGGAGTCACATACTGCCCCTACTTTCCATGCCTCTCCTGTCCGAATTTGATGTTGGGGATTCCGACATTGCTTTTCGCGACCTTTCACCATTCTTGCTGCGTCATTCAGGCATAACCCACCTCGACCTGTCATGCAGTAGTCCAATCGGATCAATCGTGCCCCCGGCGGGCTTTCTTCCTCGCCTTGAAGTGATCAGCGGAAACCCCAACTATCTTTCAGGATTACTTTCCATCCAGGGACACTTCCCAAATTTACGCTCCGTCGCGTTGACGCGGCATCCACTGCGAGCCATCCAGCACGGAGCTCTCGATAACATCTTGCGAAATTTGGGAGAACGTGAGAGAGGAACAATCCGCCTTTCCATCGAATTTTCGAACCCAACCGGTCTTACAAAATGGTTTTCCAAGGCAGAACCATTTTCCCTGGATTGCGTGAAAACGTTAGAGATTATCAGGTTCGGATTCCTCATTTCCTCAGAGATGTGCGACAGCTTCTTTTCTTGGGTATCGGTCTTCCCGTACGTCCAAGACCTGGATTTGACGCAGTTGGTTCCTGGGGACCCGAAGATGTGGACCTGGAGATTAGATGCGTTGTGGGACTCGTGTCCGGAGTTGCAGTCAATCATCGTCAAGAGAAAAACTTACCGGCGGCCTGTGAAATCAGTTGAGTAATATTCCAGGTGGATCGGTGGGCTGGTATTTTTTTGCTCCTTGCCTTTATGAAATTTATGGCATCTATATGCGAGGAATCTGTTTGGTTTTTTTGATAGGTAGCGCGGAACGGACACATTGCTGTATTCAATATGCTACACTATGCGAGTATCGGATATCCATTAACGTTCTCCGTGCCCCACAGGAGCTTCAAAATTCAAAGTGCATAAATAACTACGAGACTTTCGCATCTGTCGGTTGAAGCACTGCTACTCCGTTGCACAACATGTTGCCGGGTGCGAGATCTCAATGCGTTGGACCCTATACTGTGGGCATGGGCTTATTTATTCGGTAGAGAGGTGGTTGAGTGGCGGCGCCTGCGGACATGACGACTCTGCTGATAATTTGAGTGAGGAAAAACGTCCGTCCGATTGAACAGGCTAATTAAAGTCCATATATTCAAGTCTGAGCACCTACATCTCCTTCCTCCCTTCAACACCCAAACGCTTACGCCACCTACCTTCTCAAAACACCCCAACAACCGCAACCAAACTCATAACCACCCAAACAGCCCACGCCCCTTTCCCCCTCAAACTTTCAGCGCCACTCGTCTTTGTCGTAGTCTTCGTCGTCGCACTTGGCGTAGCACTACTAGCCACAGACGATCCATTCGTAGCGGTACTACCAGGCGGGTTCTGAGCGGCCCGAATGATGATAGCAGCTTGTTCTGCGAGGCCGTACGTCGGCGCCATGAGCTGTCCATCGCGTGAGAAGAGATCAAAGGGGGAGAAAAGGAAGAGGACGTACATGAGTAGACATAGCCAACGGGAAAACCGACGCATCCACAACTCTCACATTCGCTTCAATTTATCAGCCTTCTCCCTCATTCTTCCTAAACATGTCAAACGGAACACTCACAAATCCCATAAACCTTCAAACCCTCATCAACGACACCCCCCATCTCAAGCGGCATCATCGCACACGTTGACGAAGGGTGATACTCCGTCGCGCTGTTACTCCTCAACCACGCCTCCCATTCCTCGTCGGTGGATACGCTTGAACCAGGTGAAATCTCGTTGCCGAGGATGCTTGATAGTGGGGCAGTTTGTCCGAGGGTGCGGGCAGCTTTGAGGCCTTGACGCATTACCGTTACGTCTTTCCAAAAGAAAAGTTCGTTGAGATGCGGGGGAAGCGAGAGAGAACGAAACGAACCTGCGGGATGCGAATAATACTGCGGATCAATAACAGGTTGGTCGAATACTGATGTAGAGTTGATGTACAACCTTCCTTGACTTTGTTTTTACGTCCATCAGTTCCCCTTCATACCAAAAATCCTCGAAAACACGAACCTAAACGGAATCTGCAGAGCAGCCTGAATCGTAACCTGCCCCGGCGCATTTAAACTAAGCAACAACTCAACCAACCCCTCCGTCGGAAGCACACTCTCCATCTGAGCGCTGTAAATCGCCTTGTATCCTTGTACGACAGGCGCATATTGACTTGGGACGAGGGTGGAAGCGGAGGAGTCAAGTGTGGTGGTGATTGATTGTTGGAAGGTGCTAAACGATGAGGAGGAAGAGAAGAGGTAGGAGCCGTTGAGGTAGGCTGTTCCTGAGTTGATGAATGATAGGAATTGGGCGGATTTCTGAATGAGAAAAGGGGGTGAGGAGGGACTTTGATGGAAGTGAACGAGGGAACTCACGGAAAAGTCGGAACCGGAATTATATATCGTCCCCTGAGTCTGCGCAGTCGTCGACCACGTAACCGAAGAAACCTAATCCCCTTCAACAAACCGGAATCGCGAAAGAAAGAAAACGAAGTCACCAAATGGTCCTGAACATGCTGCCCCACCCCGGGCAACTCAACGACAACATCAACACCCACACTCTCCAAAACATCGCGGGGCCCAACACCACTCAACATCAACACCTGCGGAGACCCAACCGAACCACCCGACAAAATCACCTCCCTTTTCGCTTTGACAGTCCCTACTTGTCCATTACACGAAAATTCTACACCCGTCGCCGTTACCGTCCCATTATTGGCCCCTTGAGAAGCCCATGTAATACGGGTTACAGCAGCGTTGACCATAACGTTTAAATTCGGCCTCGCAGATGCAGGAATGTAATACGCCGCTTTGGCTGAAGAGCGCGTCCAGTTGGAAGGGTTTATAGCAGACGTGGCGAAGAAGCCGCCTGTGTTGATGCCGTTGTATGCGTCGGGGGAGGTGGTGATGCCAGCGGAGTTCAGAGTTGGGAGCCAGTTGGTCGTTATTGGGACCATGCTAGTGTGAAAGAAATGTCAATGATTCGTAAAAATAAGAAAGGGAGAGACGTACTAAGCAGGATAAGTAGCCTGCAACGGCCCTTGCGAACCACGACTAGATGTTTGGTACTGCATCCCAGCAGTAGATTCGACGGAGGAACTGGGGGGAGTGAACGTTTCGCTCTTCTTCATTGCGGAGAGGAGGTTGTCCCATGACCAGGTATCGGCTGAGATGAGCTTGCTCCATGCGCTGACTTGGACTGCGCTCGGACGGACGATGTACATCCCGTTGACGTCTGATGAACCTCCGAGGACCTACCAACGCGTTTAGAACTGGCAAACGAACGGGAGAATAAAGGGGTTGGACATACCTTTCCTCTAGGCCACGTCAACACCCGATTCCCAGCATTTGGCTGAGGTACAGTTTTATAAGCGTAATCGTACGACGTCCCAAGGAGGGAGTTATAATACGTCCCACCGGGGGAATCTAAACGCGTTGGAAAGCAAACAAACCTTTAGAAAGAACAAAAAGAAAAGAAAAGAAAAAACGCACTGATTTGGGCAGCAACCGAATCCCCCGAATCCCCCGCCTCAAGCACCAACACGGTAGTATTCCCGTCTTCAGATAAGCGCGCTGCGAGGGTGAGTCCAGCTAACCCTCCTCCAGCAATAACATAGTCGTACGACGCTAATTTGGTGGAAGGAGTGACGTATGCGCGTGGATGGATGCGTGCAGAGTCAGAATCGAAAGGAGGGTGGGCACCTAGAGTAGGTGAGGCGAGGAAGAATAAAGAGAATGGTAGTATGAGGAGACGATGCGTCCGCATGGTGGTGACGAGCGGGAAGAAAGAAAGGAAGGGAGGAAGAGGAAAAGCTTGCTACGAGGAACAAAATCTGGCCCATTGCTAATTTTGAATCTATCTTCCGGGTAGATCGTTTACCACACGGCACAGATGCTCATCACTTTGGGATGATCAAATACCAATTTTTTTCATAAACGTATGACGTACCAATACTGATTATTGTGGGGCTGGGCCAGCCTCAGAGGTCAAATTTCAAAGCTTTACAATCTTCACGGCATCGCGAAACGAGGTTCGTGCATACATAAAAGCCGTCCAAGTTGTACGTAGTTGGAAGGACTCAGACACGAGGCTGACTCAGCTTATCGCCGGCTTCTTCGGAGTCGTGCTTTGATCCGGCGTCACTCCGATGGACTATTCGACGAACGATATTCATCTCTGTGGAGCTGATTCACCTCTTGTGCGGCTATAACTCCCCGACGATTGACGACATTCGGACAAAACCAGCAAAATCTGATGCAGAAAACCCCTTGCTGACTACAGAGAGCTCCAATTGCAAATACTGAGGCGGTCAAAAATTCCCGAGCTAGGATGTCTACGAAGTAGAATGAAAGGGCCTCAGCTGTAGGCGAGGAGTTCTTGGTAAGTCATTTCCTGTGACCTGTCCATATCCTCTCCCAAACCGACGCACATTTTCCTCTATACAGAATCATATACTTATCATACCCCATCCTCGAAACACCACTGACCGCATATATTCACATAGTATAACGATCCATCATTTCCCAGCCCATGTACAAGTTCGTCCGAGTTCTTCAACGTGACTGCGCACACGATCAACGTGCTTCCAAAAGTCTTACGACTAGAACTTGGCGAAGATATGTAATTCCGAGCTTAGATGCCGCTGGCACGGCTTGCATTGGGTAGTGAGGAGGCCCTCAGAGGCAAGGCAGCTCTACGGGTATGTCGTTGTTTTGTCGCAGCTGGACTCCAACTTGATCTCAGGACATTTGCGTTCAGATAGGTCCTCACTGCTACTACGTTCTTCGAACTTGCAGCTCAAGTCCCACGAGCCAAGTTCCGCACTGGCCAAAGTTTACACCGCGTTTCATATGGCTATCCCTTCAATCCAGGCCTCCTTTGCGGAGCCTATCTCCTCGCCCGCACCATTTCCCGCCTCTTCTACCTACTCACCAAGACTCGCCGTCGTAGACTCCGGCTACCGAAAGCCCTTTCCTCCTCACCGATTCTAGACCAAACAATACCTTGGCCGATTCTCTTTCGGTTCTCATGCATCAACTGGACTGGACGACTGGTGTATAATCAGGAATTTTGTAGAAGCATATACCTAAAGTCAGAGTCCAGTAATCTGACGAGCCAATGAGCACTTAAGGAGATGGTCGCAGGGACTCCCAATTGCAAAAACGCATTTTAAACCTCACCATATGTATCTTCAGCCGGGCTCATAGTTTCGGGGGAAACGTAAACAGGGAGGCACTTTTTTTTAGAGATGTCTCACGTGGACAAGGGGGGGAGAGAAGCAAGCCGTCCAAGCTTTTCTGTTTCTTACTACACCTCGTGCCTTGTATAGCCGCAGGGACGCCTTCACTGGCATCTTTTCTTTGACCTCTTCTCCTCGGCCGATAATCCAAGTGCTGAAACACTTTTGAAGCCTAAAACGAGACGGATCAATTTCCAAGGTCACGCCGAGTGCGGCCATAATACTAGCCTGCTTGGGACGCTTTGAAAAGGCCGTAAAATTGGTCGTGAAACTTGGCAACGACGGCAGAAAATCGACAAGTTTCACATAATCTGGATACATATGGTAAGAAAAAATCCAAGGACAGGGGAGATTTGTGCTACACGGACGTGAATAGGGAAATACGTCAGAACGCTCTTGTCTTGGGTTAATCTAAGTGTCCGTCGTAAAAATCATAAGAAAAGAATGGTCCGTGTGGGTTAAATAAAAACTCGGAAAAGATCATTTGGAAGAATGTAGTCCGTCTGAACTTTTTAAACGTCAAGCAGCTCCCCATCTCGTCACTGCAGATTTTTGGAAGTAAAAAGCGCGCGTCCAGCTTACAAACGCTTGCAGGACTCGCCATCCTGGCTGACTTCATACCCTCCCACACACGAAGTCACTAAAAGCGAAAAATTAGCAGCCATAAAAGAAAGCAAATAAAACCAAAAACGCACCAATACACCTGCTATTCTCGCAACCAACATGGAAGACGCCTTTAATGGCGGTGCAATCTCTTCCCTTGCCCTGCGAGACGCATCCACCACAAGACTCAAGATCCCTAGCAATATCAACGCATTCGTAATCCCCAGCCGTCAATCCAACAGGGCAAGCCTCCAACGAAGCCGGGCACTGAGAATCACTGGCACTCAACTCACGCTTCTTGTAATATGTATACCCAGAGGGCTTAGGAGGCGTGGAAGGGGGCGTAGTTGTGGTGGTGGGCAAGCAATTCTGGGACGAGGTGTACCATTTATAGCCAGAGGGGCAGGTAGGTGTAGGAGGGTTAGAGTGGGTGGGTACACAGCATGTTTGTGCTGCGCCCCAGTAGTACCCTGTGGGACAGGCGACACCCCTCGGGGGAGAGGGAGTAACGGGGGGACCGCCGGTGGGTAAACAGCAGTTCTTAGAAGCGTACCTATCCAATTGCTCGTTTAGAGACAACAAAAACAAAACAAAAAACAGAAACGAGATCAACGTACCAGAACTCGTTATATTTACAACTGCTGGCCGTTCGCTTTCTGTAGTGCTGGGATGGCCTAGGAGGCGAAGGGACCGGAGGAGTCGTGGTAGGTAAGCAATGCTGGTCAGCGGAATACCATTTCCAACCCGTGGCGCAAGTGGGCGTGGGTGAATTCGCGGGAGACGGGTGAGTGGGTACACAGCAGGATTGCTGTTGGCCCCAATAATACCCTGTAGGGCAGCTAACGCCCCTCGGAGGGGGGGAAGGCGGCGTAGGTGGGCCGCCGGAGGGCAAGCAACAATTCTGTGACGAGTACCTACGCAGATGTCCCTGACGATTAGGAAGGAATGACGTGTCAGGAAAAGAACGCACCAAAATTCATTTTGTTTGCAACTGCCGGCGGATCCGATCGCCGTAGAAGCAACGAAAGGGAGAGCAGCCGCGAGAAGAGAAAGAGCAGGGATCAAGCGCATGGTCGGTGGGTTCAACGAATGGATGTCTGGGGAAAGTAAGGAGTGACGGGGGTCGTAAAATTAGAGGGGGGAATAGAGGATGAAGATAGGATAACGCAGACTCACAGCTTATTTATATGTTTGAATCGTTGATATGTAGTTTCCCTATTCATGCCGTGAATGATGTAGCCGAGAATAGCCCATCCGATGGCTTCAACGTTCGGAGGACACGTACAAGCTCTCGCAGTCCAGGCAATAGAATTAGCCCAGCCACGCTCTTACTTCGCTAGAATCGCGGACGTTGAGCAAAATATGAATTTGAAAAGACGCGGCTACTTTCACGATGACAGACTACATCAGCGGAACCAGCTTGGCTGATGCCGCTGCAGCCTGCAGTATGGCAGTTGTTATGATGGGGCTCTTCATTTAGCTGTCGCGTAGATGGCGGTGACGCTCGTTGACTTTGCTGTCATCGAAAGAAAGGGACAGTCCCGAAAATTCTCCAAAAAAATAAAGACTTACCCACCATACTCGCCGAAGACGTGAAACAGGATGGGGGTAGAAGTCCTAATTGTTCCGAGACGGAGAGTTTTACCGCTTCTTTTTTTCTACCCGAATATCTTCGGGATACGCAAAGGACGTCGTCCTCAGTGCCTGTTCGAACCCAGGGTGGAGGAGCGTGGAGGCAATATAGTACTTAGGGGTGCCCATCGTTGTTGTCGTTATGTGGCTGAGGTCAAGGGTAAAGTTCAAGCCAAGTTCAAGCTCAAGCACAGGACAAGTTGTCACCCTCAGTAAATAGCGAAGTCAGACGTTAGTCATGAGAAAGTCACGAATTAGAGGCTGTCTGACTAAATGTCGTTTTTTTTAAGCGTTTCTGACTACGCTTGTACTACAATAGTCATATATTAGTCTCGCACTCTGTCATGTACTAGTCATACAATAGTCATATCCCAGTCAATGCTGCTTGGGCCCAATTCAGGATAGAAAATAGGCTGAATCAAATTATACTTGGCTACTTTAGAAGGATACATGTAGCACTGGGCATAAGTCTAAGTATAGTCACTTGGGTTTTCGGTACTGGCATAAGGAGAGAGTCTCAGTATCATGTCAAAATGAAAGGCCCTCTGCAACATGTCGAGTCCTCATGTGCTCCAACGACACCATCGAGCTCGTCGTTGAGCGGTCCATTACCACATCCAACATCCATCAAATCCTCCGCATCCGAGTTCGAGTCGTCGCCATTCCATCTGCACGGGAAATGGGGAGGGAAGAGAGGGAGTTGAGGAGTGCGCCACCTGGATTTGAGCAGGAGACGTTGAGAATGCGGTTGTTGTTGATGTTGGGTGAGGAGTACCTGTGCTCGTCATATTTTGTGGTGGTGATGGTGGGCCGTCCAGCCAAAGAGCGTCGACTGCGTCGTCGGTAAGCCTGGTTCCAATGTAACACTTCGTTGGGTCGCCGTCGCATTTTCATGTGAAGGATGGAAGTCGGAGGCAGTGACTGCATGTTGGGCGCTAATGACGACACGCCATCCTTCGTTTCATCGGGGACTCATTCGCGATGGTGGTATCCTCGACTGCTCGTTTTGTGCGTTGCATACATTTGCAAAGGAGTGGAATCCGTCGACGAGGGCGTCCGCGGGTGTGGGTGGTTTGCCAGCGGCCAGAGTCGTCAATTGAGCAGTTGAGGAAGAGTGTGTGGGGCTGGTCGCCGAAGTGACAAGTTCAAGTTCAAGATAATTTCAAGTTGAAAATAACTTTTCAACGAAGCAATCATGTGACTTTCAACTCGCAATGTTTCTAAGTCCAATCTGCAGCCTCAGCTAGACAAAAATTCTTGGCGTAGCGATGTGTAGAAAAAGTATGATGATGTTGATACTAACCTACGACTAAAACCATCTCCCATTTGTTGCCAAGGGAAGTTTGAGGGAAGGGTAGCATGAAAATTACGGATGTGTTACATACACCTGACTGACCTCTGACTTTGTGCTATTTTGCTTGACTTCGCTTTTTACTGAGTGTCACCAATCACGTGCACAAATCAGGGCAGGTCCCAACTCGAAGCTTTTTTGTAAAATTCGCTATTTACGATAAGTACTAAAGTTACAACGAAGCGTCGCCAGTCACGTAAATAAAACTCGACTCAGCATCTGCTTGGAGACTCATGTAATCGCTCTGATCGCCTGACCTCTTCTTACCGAACGGAGACAGGGGTAAGCGCCTCTTCTCACTTCAAAAAATCTATAACTTTGCGACTACGTCTGCCGACAAAAGGCCCATCCAAAAATAATGGAAATGCCAAGGAAATGCTGTCATTCGATCGTCTCTCTCAATCCAACCATCAATGAAGTCCAAGTGGTTGGTGAGACCGAAATGTCTACTTGGGTACCATAGACTTCAAGCTTCATGTTTGATGAAGCAAAAATTGGACGGAATTTGGACGGAAAAATTCCATCGAACTTTGCGTTGGTAATGGATGACTTTCCGTAAGGTTTTTAATCCTACATATCATATTTTGGAGATCGAATGTCAGTTTAGTCGTTTAATCTATTCAAGCTGACATTCCGCAAGCTATTCATCGTTCCGTTCCCAATATTTTGTGCTGCATGGTACCCTGAAGTTAATTACAATGTTTACAGTGTCTGATGTAGACAGGTTATCATGTACTATACAATTGCTATACAACAGAAGGTTGTTTCAGCCAATGAGGGGAGAGGATGAGGCCAAGATTGGCTTGGGAACATTTTATTCCAGCGAGTTTAATCTATGAAGAGGGGTCTGACCCTATGAACAGATTAAGGTTTATTGAGACGTGAAAACAGGCACGAAGAATATTTTTCGTCCCCATTTGACCCCGGCAACACGGCAACAGAGCCAAGATATCAAGGAATAATCTATTTCCCCGAATAAAAACTTACGGAAAGTCATCCAATCTAGTTGGTCTAATAATAACATACATACTGATATCCAATGTGTTTCGTCTCCTCCTCTACAAACATTGCGAGCCACGTCTTTTATATATTTTCCATTGGTTTTTCGTCGCTAGAAATTTAAGAAAAGTGTGGAACGGCTTAGTTTTTATGTGCAAGTATTTGATGTCGAAGGGCAAACGTTAGCTCAGACATCGACTCGTAAGAGTAAAGCCTGACGCTACAGCAATCAATTGCATACGCTACGGAGATCTTGATGATCTATCATTTTGGTGATCGTCTATTGGGTGTTGCGCGGTTCGCTCCTTGCAACCAATGGAAGATGATGAAGGACCGCGAACTTTGGCCATGGGAGGAACCAATGTATTTTTGACAGAGAGAGCCCGTGGGAAATTTGACTTTTCAATAGTGTACGAGTTCGTGGCTCAGCATCCTCCACCTCAGGCCTGACGCTTTTGAGTGACAGAAGGCCTCAGAGGCCAATTCTTTTGATGGTGGTAATTGGCCTCTGGGGTTATTTCCGCTCCCTCACTGCGCTTCCAAATCCAAATTTGGTGGCTTCTTTTACTAACTTCTAAATATAGCCCGAGCGTCAAGGTGTCAGGCCGCTAGGCCGCCAGTGACTGAAGCGCTAGTGCTCTAGCCCTTGCCGCCACCGCCAAAAGCCAGGATTCCGTGCCCGTTCCTCCTGCTCGGTTTGTGCACCCCCTGTCAAGTATTTTCGTGACCTCTACTACCTCATAAACCAACTGTGTAGGATCCAGAACAGTTTTTCACATTCAAAACCTCCTCAAAAATCATTGCAGCCGCCTGGGCTGGCATGACCACATTTCTCATCCCCGCCCCCACCCCCCACCCCCCGGCTCAATTCTGATCACATATTCAATTTATGGTTATAGTCGATCCATCCTCCGCCGTTGTCAGCAATGAATTTTATAACCCAGTGTTCAGGACAATCCATATAATTGTTATTTTCCGGTGCTTGTTGCGCCTCGTTGGCGGCCCCTCACCGAAAAATGAGGAGCTCCACTTAGAAGTATTTCTACATAAGTGTAGTCGAAAGAATTTTCAACATTAAGAGGGTGCTCGATGAATGATTCTGAATTCACCTCATGATGTGTCCGCTTAATAGGCTGGGCTCCAGAGTAATACTACCTATCATCCTATAACATTTAGCAACCATGGTATTAGTATTATATGCAGAAAGAATCAATAGCAATTGAGTTGGTTCAAGTGGATGCTGAAACAGAGACGGGACGGAAATTATGGGATTGGTTGCACAACGACTCCTCCCACTCATGATTTCCGATTTCCCCTTCAATCCATGCTTCTCCAAATGCCTTTGGACATTTTAAATGAAAGGCCGTAGTGTGCTACAAGATTTTCAAGATTTTTTTTTACAGATTTCACAGCGGGGAAAGAATTTCGTCGTCGTCATAAAACTTCTCTTATTTCTGCATTTCTGCATTTCAACCAAACGAAAAAATTATGGATATTGGCTGTGATGTAGATCAAAGTATGAAGAATAACTACACCAAATTGATTTTGGGATGGCATGAAGGAAAAAGTGCAAGCGAGTCAAATCGTGAGTTTTTCGGGAGTAAAGGTCAGACAATACCAGAGCCATCAAAGGCTGCCATTGAAGATTATCGTCTTAAGGATAGTAAAGACGCTTTCATCCTACAATGGCTCGACTTTCGAAAAAATCAAAGCGAACACAACTCTAGGGGTCAATTGTATACTTCTACAAGGCTAATATTGCTGGATGGCTCTCGAGCTAGAATGAATGGCTTTGATGTTTGTTTTTCTTCGCATGTTGAAGTCTCCGCTTCGTCATCTCTTCGAAATTTCATTTCATTCAAATTTCATTCTCAGTTGGATGAAACAGGAATACAATGGATATCATTTAGAAGTATTGGTGATGTCTACCTCAATTCTATGTATTCTCAAGGTCAGGGAGAGGGCTAAGAACGGAGGTGGAAGCTATAGAAGGAGGTATTGGCGCTAGGAGTTTTCAGTCGTGAACTTCCAGCCTTCCCCTGATATCCTTCCATCTGGCGTGCAACGTAGACCCGTAAAACATGAGCAATTGAAAGGAATAATGGGGTATGGTTCACATAGAGGGTAGAGGCGAAGGTAGGAATCAGGTAAATGATCCTGAAACTGCAGGAATGAGCGTACACACGAATCAGATCGCGGCGAATGGTACAAAGACTAGAGGTACTCAAAAAACCCTCTTACAAGTAATTCGGCTTGTAGAAGAGTCGTTGACCTGTAATAGTAAAACAACCCATAAGTACTGTGTAATGGGAGACTCAGAATAGAGAAATAGAGGGGAGGTTGAAGAAAATAGATCAGTTGATCCAGGCGATCCTCGGTACGGCGGTGTGGGTTGCCTCCTGAAGTTTTGTGAGATTAATGGCAGTACTTACCTGCCCGATTATTCAAGAGTGATTTGACTAAGCCCACTTCATCAGCTCTTTCCAAGTGTTCATGGATGTAGGCCCTTGTCGAGTGCATAGTGCCAGTAGACGCTCACGGGATGCAAATGGGAGGCGCTATGTTGACGGACGCCCAATACGTGTCCCCTAGAGACTGGTGATCCTAATACTTAAACGCATCGAATCAGTACCTACCTTACTACCCCGACCACGTTCACTTTCGCCACCCCTTCGACAGCATTGAACGCACATAGCTGTCCGGGTCCGCATTGTTGTCATTTGGTGTTGTTGTTGGGCGCATCGGGCGATTAGACCCTGACATGGATCTTGCCTCCGTCAAACTTTGTGTGAAGAGAACCATCGAGTCTGGTATGGTGGTTGGAGGACAACTGAAATGGAGTGTCGAAAGTCATCGCGGTCAGTGAGAGGAACGACCACTCGACAGATCTGTCAGCGATCTTGATTTGATGAGACTATTAATAGCTATCAGCACCATCAGCGCTCAGGAAGACCCCCCTCTCAGGCCAATTACCCTCAAACAAAGAATTGGCCTCTGAGGGCTCAGAAGCACGTAGAGGCGCTAGGCCTAAGGTGGCATCCTCCAGGCTCCTCAAGGATGTTGTACTCCGCCATCACTCCCAAGGGGGTAGCGGGACGTGGATCCCGAACCAAGGGTAGGAGGGGGGGGTGTCCGGCTGAAGGCCGAAAAAAAAATTGTTGACGCCGTCAATTTCAAATTTTCTCATGCTGGTCTCCTCATAACTATCTTTACACTGATCATGACCTACTTGCAACCAGTTACACCACTCTCGACGCCTCGGATTCTTGCGACGCGGCTGGCCGTGGTGGATCCCTCACGAGTACCCTATAGCCGTTGTTTCAACAGCATGCTATATGCATCCTTACGATGCCTAGGCTTAGTTTACGGTCAACCGCCTGTGTGTAGCTTACTTGTTACACGGAAAATTTTGAATTCAAAAAAAAAAAAAACATGAGTATGGGGAAAACATACTTTATTAGGAAGGTAATGGTGGGGGGGTGTCAGGCGGAACCCTGAAAAAAAAATAACGAGTGTTGGTCTCTTTTCCACATTCCGCCACCCCCTTGATCACTCCACAACATTGCCTGCTTTTTCGTCGTGACAATCGGATTGCCAACATCCTCGAAGGCACTGGTAGCGAGCCCACTACTTACAGTGTTTTGCATGTGAGATTGCACTGCAAATCCCACGAAAACTTGTTTGCATTTGTATTTCGTGACCTGAAGTAACCATTTTCGGTTGATTTTGGGTGTAGAACGCATGACACCAGCCACAAACTACAAGTACAAACAGGTTTTAGTAAGATTTCGAGTGCAATCTCACATGCAAAGCACTGTATGTTACGGCGGTTATTTAGAAATCAAGGCCGAGTCGGAGCGCTGGCGCGCTTTACTCTTTCAGCGTGAGCTCAGCGTCAACCTACATATGTAACCTCGACACCATACTACTGACCGCCCGAAAGGTACCAGAATCTATTGAGGTTGCGGTGTAGCCACATTCGCTCTGAATTTCGGTCTCCTATCTAGAGACTAATTGAGCGATTCGGGGGTCGCGCTTGCCGAAATGGTGCCTTGCGCCCTACATTTGACCTGTCAATATGTCATGCCAAACTCCGGCAAGGTACTCGCACCGAACAAATGGGTGACTTTCCGTAACTCAAATCTATAAAAATGAATAAATTTGACCCTTATCGGAGTTTGAAACGAGAACTTCACAGGAGAGTTTATTGGAGTGAATAAACCGTAACGCCAACTGATTAGATTCTATTTGATGTATTTGCTTGCCTTGTACAAACTCACTTCCCTCCCATCTGAGCTGCTCTGAGGTCGTGTAGGCCCGTGGATGGGTTTATTATACTGATTGTTCATCCACCCCGCTGTAAAATTAGACCACACGCTGGGTGAAGCCCAAAAAATCCCAAGTTGAGCTGAACATGGCTGTGGATCAGTGAGTTAGGTGTCAAGAAGGGTGTTTGTAAAGGGAGCAACAGTTTCCGGGAGGGGATTTTGTAGCCATAAGACATTGACACTTCTAATAGACTCTGTAGTGGCTTTGAACTGCAACGAGAGGGAGCAGAATGCCCCAGCCGTAGGAGAGTAGTAGGGGATGAGGTAGAGCTGACTAAGCCATGTGGGAAGGAATCGTACCCAGCAAGGAAAGGTGTCCCCTTGGCAGGGTTGATTCCAGCGTTTGAAATCTGTTCGAGGGGTCTGTACCCTCTGAATAGATTAAGGTTTGTAACTGGGTTCCAACCAGGGACTCCATCAAAGTCGAACCCTTACAAGACTCGGCATCCCGGCAAAGGACCCTAGATTTCGTCGATTTATTCAAATCTAGAGAATTTGTGTTACGGAAAGTCACCCAATATATGGGGAATGGGGAAAGCTTTATAAACATCCAGTAAACATCTCTTGTGAGTGAATCAACCCTCTTTCAACTACAAACGTTCAGCTCCGAATTCCGTCTAACTATGAAACTTCCTTGGTTTTCTGGCTCTGAGGAGACACTCATTTCCACTGCTCAGGACTCTGCCTCGACTCCCAAGGCGCCCCCTCTGGACGCTACTATACCTCCTGCGCTTCCTGGACGTGCGAGAACGCTCGTCTTGTGTTTTGATGGAACGGGCGATAAGTGAGTACATCTATTCCATTGCCTGAAACGCACTGACATTGCCTGATACAGAGATGATACCGATGTGAGGTTTTGACATTGCCCATGTTTCGCGTAGATACTGAAAGTTTTCAAGAGAACCAACGTTGTCGAACTGAAGGTTATGCTAAAGGTGGCTGAAGAGGAACAACTTGTTTACTATCAGGTACGTCTCTTTAGGTCGGCTTGAACTCTTCTCAAATCGCCTTGGTAGCAAGGAATAGGAACTTACACTCCAAGGATTCCTGGGGTTAAGGAACCGATGAAGATACCTGGCGTCTCTTATCTATCGGAGGTGAGGGTTTAGCCCCACATGTTTGAATGTATCTAATGAAAATCCAGGAATGGGACAAGGCCACAGCTTGGAGTCTGAGGAGACATGTCATTGGTGAGCAGGCATATCATTTAAACTCCAAGTAGCTTTGTTTTGTGATACTTATTTCATCCAGAGGCATATCTGTGGCTCGTAGACCACTGTACGTACGGAAATTTCTCTACTTCCGGATCTAATTCGTTGATCGTAATCCAGATACTCCTGGGGATAAAATCTGCATGTTTGGTACGCTTCCCCACACCATCTATGGACCCGCTATTGACACTGGATCAGGGTTTTCGAGGGGTTCGTATACAGCTCGAGCGTCAGTATTTGCCAAATTGCCCTGAAACCATCCTAACGTCAATTACTAAGTCTCGCAGGCATGCTTTTCAAGGTCGGGCTCCTCCCAAAAGAGCATCGTAAAGAGGCCGACGCGGCCTTCGAATCATACAAAGTCGCAGAAACGAAAGAAGGCTGGGAACACTCGAGGGCGTTCCAGAAGGTTCTTGAATGCAGGAAGGTTTCCATCGAGTTTCTGGGTTGCTGGTCTGTACCATCTTCAACGTGACTCTTTGTTGGTGGTGTTGAATCCATACATTGCAAAGGGACACCGTTAATTCCGTAGGTTACTGGACGACCAAGTCACTTCCGTTCACGGCTTACAATCCAATGGTACGCGTTTTCCGACATGCAGTCGCGTTGGACGAACGCAGAGCCAAATTCAGAACGAACCTCTGGAGTCCGAACAACAAAATTTTAACGGGTACCGACGATAGCGACCTTAGCGATTATCAAAAGGTAGTCAAGAATTTCGTTGAGGAGCAATCGAAAGGGCTGCCTACAACGCACGTTGACGAGGTAAGTGGCCCATCGATGACGTTAAATCTGGTATTGACAGTATCCTTCAAGGTTTGGTTTTCTGGTTGCCATTGCGACATCGGCGGTGGAGCTGGTGAGTGGAATTTCGACTGCATCAGAATATGCTGAGACACGTCGACAGTGTTGAACGGAACCAAGCCGAACTTAGCACACATATCGCTGAGATGGATGATCCGGCAGTGCTTTATGCAGAACACGGGCATCATGTTCCTCAACGACAAATTAGAGACGTTCCACCTCAGTCCCGATTCCCTCTATCCTAAGGTGAAGGACCGACCATCGCCTGTTGCAATGAAAGGCAACAAAATCCAACCACCTACTCGCTTGGGCCCTATCGACACGGTCAAAGGATGGGTCACGTATCTCAACCCCTTCAGGCCCGCCAGCGTCGTCCCGCGCACTGTACCCCGTCCCAAAAACGAGGAGGAAGCCGATGGAATTGATGCATTGGCACCCATTTACGACATGCTCGATATAAAGCCCCAAATGTGGCTCATCTTCGAAAATATGCCTCTTAAGGTGTATGATATCAAACTGGGCAAGTACGTCTACAAGAAATTCAACAAGCTACCAAGGAGCTTGCGAGGGCCTATTTTCGTTGACTTCGCAAAGAAGGTGACAACCCAAGCGCGTGTGCGGGTACATCGCACTGTTCTGGCCAGGATGAATGCCCTGCATGCGGACGGCAGCCCCTACGTACCAAGGGCGCTGTTCCCTGACAAGAAAGCAATTTCATTAGATGCAGGATTGACCGGTAATGAGTCCAACTTCGAGTGGGTTGATTGATATCGGAGATATTTCCTTTGTACGTAACTTTTGATACATACTTGTGTCTTCACAGATGATAAAAAACAGCCAATCATTACGTAGACAAAACATGCAAAAGTATCAAAATCAAGAGAACAGGCGCCAGCAGCACATGATATCGGAAACAGAAAACACGATTCGTAGCAAGTGAATAGAAACAACGGCGATTGCTGGGAAGTACAGAAAGATCATGCACCAGCAAGGCAAATCCTGAGCTTTCTCAGTCACAGTGAATACGCTCAGGCGCCAGATCGCGGTTTTCTGAAGTTCTTCCATGCACTCCTAAATACCCCACTCTCGCTCCAGAAAGTCATGGTAGCCATCTTCCTGAAAAGCGCGGTTCCCACTGTCGAAATTGTCGAGCGACACTTGAGGTGGACTAGTAAGACAGAGTGTAGGTCTTCAGATTTGAAAATTATAAGTACAACAAATATTCTCTTCAACGTGCAAATATCAGACGGGAGAAGACCAGGACAAGGTCCAGGAAGGTAACCAGCACTTGCTCTCCAAAAGTTGCTTACACCGATAACTGTGTCTTCGTCATAGCTGGTTTCGCAGTCATTGAAGACACATCGTCAAGACCTTACATGCATCGACTCAAAGCTATCCCGCGTCTTCTTCAAAGCGATATCTAAGTCTTCGAGGTCAACCATTATAAGTACAGATGGGTTAGCAACGTACTGGTTATCTCGCAAGTGGATGCAAAAATTTCCATGCCCTCTAATGCACGCCGAATGATGCCACCCATCTCAGACTCTTCTGCCAGTGAATAAGCCCTCTTTCTGCGCAACAAAGCTATCTCATCCATCAACGTCTGCGCCGCCTCCATCCAAATGTTCTAAGGGTCGATAAATCAGTGTTACAGTCCAGTCATCCCATATGAGGAACTCTTACTCCAACTATGGGATTGAGGTAACGAAAATCGAGCCGCCCGAGGGACGCGGCGATGCACAGAACTGCTTTCGCAGACTCCAGGTGGCTGTCCTTCGATGAGGCGCTGCTTAACTGCGAGTACAGCGTTCCATGCAAGCGAACTGCTGAAATGTTAAGGATACTGTGACAAATGACAAGTCTCCGTATCCTTGCTTCATTGGGGACCCCCGCGTTGGAATCCAAGTTGGGCAAAGATGTCTTTAGTTCTCCAATAAGGTTGACCAGGGTGTTCATTTCGTTCAGGATATCGACGTCTATGGAGCATGAGCGAAAAGGTACTCAAATGATGAATGCGCAGTCCGAACAAACCTGGACTGCAAAGAGTACAAATGTTGACCACCCTTTCCCACAACAAGGTTGCTTTTGCGTGGACTGCGAGGATGGATGTGCCCTTGTCAGATGTTGGTCGATTGTTTAAGAACTTCAGCAGGGTTTTTTCGGTGTGAATATTTTGGAACAGAAAACCCTGGCAAAGGTGAGTCACGAATGATGATCATGGCGACACTACTTCTACCTGGACGTAAGAGTCGATGTCGAGTGGCCACGGCGTATCCAACGAGTCTTCCAAATGATCAGCGGAGAACGTCATCTGTGGGGTTTGTCCAAGATTCGCTGCCCAAGATCTGTCCAATATGAACACCGTCCACGCTGCAAGAATACTTTCGCCTTCTTCGGTAGAATTACGCGGTGGTGGTAATGTGGACCTCAAATCACCATTCGTGGATCGAATTTTGTGTAAGCCTGAAGCAAGCACGGTCGCTACCGCATACATAACGAATTGGTTTCCCTCGTTAACCCGATTAGTTGAAAAGAGATAGGTCGCAATAAGTACTTGAGCCTGAATAGCGTGAATCATTGAATGGGGTGTGTCAGACACGTCAGTGATTGCCCCGGTCGCACGAGAGAGGTACATCTCCTCATGTCTTTCAGAGTCCTGGGTTACGGCGTCCTTCGAAAGGTATATGCACCAGAGACACGTTGCATATATCAGAACATTAGGTAGTCCATGAGGATGACCCACAGGGAGTAACATGGATTCTAGGAATGGTGGCATATAAAGAAAAAATCCGAGATCGGACGAATGTCGGATGAAAGTGTCCAACCTGGGCAGCATTAGCAACTAGAAATGATAACGTCGAAAACTCACAACTTCTCCGTGATATACAACGGCGGATCCATGCTTGCCGCAGAAGCTGTCCGCGAGGGAAGCTGAGAAGTTGAATATGGTTTTGTCAGAGTGATACAGTTCGAGTGCTGGGGCGGATTTTCTAGCTCTTCTATCCTAGCCTGGTTTAAATTGATTCTTTCCTCGAGAAAACGACTTTCTGCGCCCGCGTTCGCGCTGAGGTATTCACAATCCTCGGGTATGTTTCGATCCAAGCACTTCCCACACATGGGACGCGCACCGTCGCATTTCTAGGTTGATCAAATAAACAACAGTCGTCATAAATAAAAAGACGAATCAGCAGACCATTTTGCGACCGCGGCATGGAAGACACGCCGCTCCTCTCTGTAGCGTTGGTGCTCTGGGTTCGGCGTTTGAGCTCATGTGTATGGAAAACCTGAGGGAAACTGATGATTCGAGTCTGGGGAAGTTGGCCTTTAAGTAGTGGATCAGTTGCAATCTATTGCCCGGATGCCTCGCAGCGAAGCCAAGCAATGGCAACTAGTGCATTTCACTTCCGGGGGCCATTGCGTTATTTTGGAGCAGTCGGGGAATTGATATTCATCCGCCAGATAAATGAATTTTCCACCTTGGGTTGTGTTTCTGGCACGATGATAAAGTCATTGCCGCTGGGGATAGATATCTCGTAGGATCTCCTAGCACCTCGCAAATGACGACTTCGGCGCATAAGATAATCAGCAATCCCAGATCTTTGTAGTATTTGAAGGGCAAGGAAACAATTCATCCATGATCTAGATTCGATATTGGCTAGAATGGAGGCACGAGGTTAGCAAGGGGACTTCGCACGACTAATGCTGGTTAAATTAGCGGAGTGACTAACGTCCGACCAGGAAACAAGTAAACTTTGAGATTCGCCCTGCCTGGTCTCGATCAGTTGACGCGAAATAGAGTTGTTTTGAGGCACGTCGTCATCAAACAACTTTTTGACTTTATCCGGCTATCGAATGTCTTTGTTTTTACTGATGATCCCTGCGAAAGAGGTGGGAACACTAAACAATTTGCCCGGGTCTGGTGATTGGGAATTGAGATGCAACTCATTCTGTGGCACGGTCCCGAGTACCAGCTGGGAATATTATGATAAGTGGTTGACCAAACCGAGACATAAACATTACTAGGATCAATGGTCTCCGGCAAGAAAATGGGGGTATTAACCAGGAACGGACAACCATAAGGTTTTATGGAAGTTTCGAGAAGTCTTTGAGGCCTCGACTTCGGAATGGAGGGGCGTCTCCGAGTATGTTATATCAGCGGACCACCTGCAAAAAACGCTGAAAAATCAGATCGTAGAAAAGCTCAAAGGCTGTTCCATTAATGACAGACCTGTCGCCGCGCGTTGTGTTGAGCTTGCACTCGATTAGTCTTTGTTGTCCCAGTTCAAGATCATGTGTTGCAAGAAAATTTTGCTCTGTTTTGTCATACAGAATTTAGATATAAAAATTTTCGTACCGCAGTTGCGGCACCTGAAAAAAGACGATGAGACGCACGGTATGTATTGGAACAATTAGCTAGGCGTCCGGATGGATCTACTCACCCGTGCGTCATTTAGTGGAGCGAGCTGTTTAACCATAAACGCCAAAACAAATTTCTGTACGCCGATTCATCCGCACAACCCTCATCATCGCGTCCATGTGTAACATCAGTGTCAACTGCCTCCCTAGAAGCGCTCAAGAGGTCAGATGGTAAATAGAGGACAAGAACTTCGACCGTGATGAAATACATTTCCGGATTTCGGTGTGTTAACCTTGTGTTCAATTCGACCGACCAAACAAATGACCAGGGGGTTCGAAGTTCTTTGCCACCTTATTGAGGGTATTGCGGTGGGTGGCGTAACCACCGGATGCTGCTGTGAAGTTTATCAGCCCATAGATGCGTAACAGAAAGAGAACAGGCCGCACACACTCTGGACATCTGGAAGAAAATTCACACCAACTTTTTTGAGCGGTGCGTAGAAACGCCAAAATTATACCGCTGTAACTGCGCTTAAAAACCGACAATTTCTACCGTGTTCCACGATAATCGATAGCGGCTACTTAATTGTTGCGACAATCAGATATGAGATAGCGAAGTTGAGCGCTCACAGTTGTGATGGGGCCGTTGGTAAATGGTGAACCGGTGATGAGCGCGCGAGAGAAGGTGGGCACTGATATGGCGAGGACAACCTAACCATGAGATAGCAACGAGGACCCGAAATTAAAACCACAGGCTAACCTTGATTATGTTGTTGCGCAGCGATCAGCAAGGGCGTAGGAGAAGGGAATAACCATCAATTGCGCGAAGAGGTTTCGGGACTCAGATTGGAGCCGCTACACAACAACGGTTAATTCACGATTAGGGGGTTGTGGCGCAAAGTTCTGGAACGGTCAAATCGATGAGGTTATGAAGGTGGATTAGAGTTCAACCTTCAGAGAAGGTGAATCGAATTTTTAAGAGAGCGGGCGTCGATTGCAATCTGCGTATTAAAGCCACAAGGATAGAGCGCTTAATCTCCAGCGCTAGTGGGGAGGACGCGGACCGTCGCTTCTTCCGAACCGTCACCTAGTTCAATGTGTAGTAATGACTCGGACATGGAGGGCTTTGGATAGCCGGCAAATTAGATATGGTGGCTGCAGAAAACCTGCTGAAGTGGACCTAAAAATACGTCGTGGGGAGATAATGGGTTGTACATTCTGCACTTAGCGCTCGAAGATGGAAAGTTGTGGCGACGGGAGATGAAGAAGCGCCTTCCCAACTGTAAGGAGGTTTAGACAACCTGTGATATCAAAAAGAGTGGCGATCGCTCACCACCTCAAAACCGCCACCTCAAATTTACCGGCAAGCCGAGAATTAGCTCGGTGACGAGAATCTCCCGCTGTCAACGGGCTTCAAGATGGTAAATTTGTCCGAAGATGTTGCGGTGAAAAAGTTGAAGGCGAGATGACCCTAACCCTAATCAACAACCTCTTCCGCTCTAGGCGTGACGTGAATGAGCCCAAGACTATGCAGAAAGTCTAATTCGGCCTTGACACCTGACGATGGGCTTGCATCAAAAAGGAGTCGGGTCCCAAGCTGAGCAAAATATCAAACAAGTCACAAGCAGATGCCCGCAGGCTGCGCTTTATCGCGAATGTAGCCATAAGATATGCGTATGTTCGGGTCAGGGGTCTTGGACGGTGGCTCTGAATCGACAAGTTTCCGTATCACCCAAGGAGTACGCCTATCGGGAGGTTTGACCCAAACGATCATAACGAGTTTTTCCGCGTGAGCCAGGAGAACTTGCCGAAGCAATGAATGAATTGTGTCCTGCATGCAAATGTACCCTGCACCCAGATCGAAAGGGGTTGGGAGACACACCCGGCTTTCTTCTGGGAATGGCGAACGCCCGCGCTCCGTGGTGGCCCATGGCTAGCAAGACCGAGGGTAGGAGAGTTAGAAAGGGGGGTTTCACATACATCTTCAGATCGACGGAAAGAATTTCGATTGACGATGGGGGAGAACGCGACGAGGGATCCTAAAAGCCGGAGTGTCCTTGTCGCTCGGAGCTCCGCTGTATAGAAATATGGCCGGTGAAAATCACCTACGTCTGGATAGCCTGTGAAGTTTGAGCCTCTAGGAGGGGAAACTAAGCATTGCCCGTTCTTTCGGGTTGTGCCACATTCCTTCCAGCAAAAATGGTCGAGCTTCAGAGTCCCCATTGGTTCCTCTCGCTGTTTCAAGAGGGCAGGGGAGAGTACGTGAAAAAGTGCTTCATGCCACTGATCCGAGAACGAACTTACTAGCACGAAAGTTCCCTCATCCTCGCCCCACAGAGGTCAATTGAATGCCAACTCGCGCTCATCGTGTACCGCATGCCGTGATATACCTATGATCTGTCTCCGCCAGGGTAGGTCAACCTGGAGGTTTATAGACCGAAAATAATTACCAACCAACTGTTGCCCCCTCGTCATTTCCGGATCTTGGCCATCTCTTTCTGTCACTACAGCCCAACGTCTTATCGCCAATATCTCCACTCGCAAGACCGCCTGCTACAAGTTTCCCGCAAGCTGTTGGTCGGGGGAACTTATGCCGCGCAAGCTCCCTCATCCCAAACTCTCCGAAGCCTTGAACCCCGGCATGCTGGCCGCGTACCATGAGGTCATAGCTGAGGTGTTACGATTCTCTATGAAGGTATGTCAAACCGAAGCGGACAGGCCAAAAATGACAAGTTACCGACGTCGCCCCTCGCATCAGCACATTGTCGCCCCTTGTCCAGTGAGTCCCTGGTCATCACCTCCCGACGGCCTCGCCACTGCGATATTTGAGCAACAAATGGTTCACCCTAAGTAGGGCGCGAAATGCCATACCAGTATTCCAGGATGGTTAGCTTGTCGTTTGAAACCATGTCTTTTGTTATTGAGTCGAGGTGGCTGTGCCATTCAACTTTTTCTTTGATTTGATCTCATGAGCGATGACAGACTTCAAACAGACTTAGCAGTTTGCATCTCATAACTCCAGCGCCGTCCATTCACAGGTCCAAACTGTGATCTGTCGTGTACCATTCCATTGTCGTCGCTATATGTGATAAGATATCCGCACGTCGAGGTACGTCAGTCTCGAATTCATTTGGAGAAGATTGCGAATACTGTACTAATACGACCAACTGTTCAGGCCCCTTGGGGTGTGACATGTTTTGACCATCTCTTCGTCGCTTCATTGTCCTGTGTGATGCGTGACGAAGAGTTTTTGCTCTTCGTCCACCACATATTTCTCAGACAGTTTGGCCCAGCAACCTGTTAATTTTTTGGCTGGAAGGTAAGCATGCATTCCTCAAGTATAACATGGTTCTAAATATGCCAAATGTGATGTTTAAAACAAGGCACCGCAGGTCCGGAAAAAAATGACTATTTTTAATTCAAAAAAAAAACTCTTCAAAACTTGGTGTGATGCGTGACATCACGCCTACTTCCCTTCCTTCGGTCGTATTAGTACAGTAACCTCAGGCTCCCACTTAGTCGGGGAATCATCTTCGCGTCCCCCTCATCTCGTTCCAATTCACTTCAACGTCTTTTGGCCACCACTTACTCATGCAACGTCGGCGTTATTGCAAATCCTTCTCGCAAGGCCGACCGGAAATCATCATTTCACGCACCTCATGGCCAAGGTTATGAGGAACCTATTCGACAGCGACAGTCCTCGCCCTCACATCCTTCCAATCCTCTAGTATATGATGTCCGTTGTGGGTAGGCCTTTTGGAAACGAACGTCCTGACGCATCGACTTAGAATTTACTAGCCGAACTTGAAACTGACATGTCGAACTCCGCAACATCTCGTCGTCCTTCCCTCACGCAGACTCCAAGTTATTTCTTGGTAATTTCTTGGCTTTAATGTTACAGTAATTCATGGCAAGTACAAGTCACTCACGATTATGAAATTTACATTTTCTATGTGCAGTAAATTCCTTCACCCTTATCCAACCCTTATCACACAAAACATCTAGCGTCTGCTATTTCTGGAAAGCGTCGAGCGCATTCTGCTTCTAAAAATAGTTTACGAACGTGTGAGGGCTTAAGCGCTTATGTAACACCTGCTCCTTTTGCACGACCACGGCGAACGCGATATGGTTGAGGAATGTCCCCCAGAGGTATGGTCAATCATCTTCTCCATGGCTTGCAGGGACGACGGAACCACCGCCATCGCCCTTTCCCAAGTCTCGCGTTCAATAAACACGTACTCCAGACCATATCGATATCAAAGCATCGCGCTCACGAATTGCGACCAAATCACCGCGTTCGAATCTACAATATCATCGGTTCCCCCCGAGCTTAGACGCATCAGGAACCTTTTTGTCCACTGTCCCGATCCGATGAAATACGTCTACACGGCGGACACGTATGCAGAGGCTGACACGGATGAGGAGTCATCGCAGAGCGAGTCGTCGCAGAATGAGTCGTTGCATAGAGAGTCGTCGCAGAACGAGTCGTCGCAGAGTGATTCGTCGCAGAATGAGTCGTCGCAGAATGATTCGTCGCAGAATGAGTCGTCGCAGAATGAGTTGTCGCAGAGCGGCTCACTGGCAAGAGACCCTACTTGGCAGGAGAGCTCTTCCGAGGCCTGGACGGACGCTGATCAAGGGGAAACAGACTCTGAATCAAATGAAAGCGACTCCTCCGTATCCGAGTCTGACGGTGACAGCTTCTACGAATTAACCGCTGAAGAGGAAGCGGAATTGGCGCAAGAGGCGGAGGATTTGGCCAGCATGCCAAATTCAACTCTACAAGT